AATATCCATATATTTAATTTAAATTCAATGTGAACTTACTGTTGGACAGATCAAATACGGAAAAAATTTTATGAAGTTAAAGGGGCAAAACTATACCCAAATTCGAACGGGACCTACGCATTTTTACGACATATGCATATATTTAGTTTGAGTGAAATGTAAACAACTGTTGGAGTGATGATGAACGGAAACTGAAAATGTCCTTTTTTAAAGTATATGCCACAGGTATTTCATTGCGGAGGCATTCAAAAAAGAAGCAAATAGCAAAACAAGAAAAACACGATAAACAATCTTACGACACTTAGGTAGAACATTAAACGTGCGACTAAATCGTATAAGATGAAGCTTTGCGGCGTTGTTCCTCCTTCTTTGTGTAAGAGAACGGACATACATCCATAACGCTTTAATTGGTCTGTTTTCCTGTTCAAGACATTGAGCGAGAAGGTTTAGAGCTGTCTCCTTGTGACCAAGGTTTGTATCATGCATAGTAGTCTTTATAAGGTTATCAAGTGCTTGTTGTTGATCCTGGTGTCTTTGAAGATGTCCATATGTCTTGTACTGTAAAAAGAAGAGAAAAGGAAGAGAATCAACCACTGCAAAGTCCATCCACCGTCTGTCCATTTGACTTCTGTGCTGCATCTCATTTTGAGTACATCTCATCCATTCATACTGTAGCTCTAAAGGAACACAGTTGTTTTCTAATTGCAGGAATCTTACACAAAACGATGTTGCTCGACTGATGCAATATTCATTCTCTTTGCAAAAATTTCCCGATAATTTTGCATAACGATTTTGGAATGGATAAATCGAGCAAGCACATACAGATTGAACAACATCACAGTTGTATCGATTTTCAATTTGTTTCAAAGTTAACTCCGCCTTATCCATATCACCTGCACAATACAACACTGACGCTAGTTTAAGTCCGCCAGATGTCACATCCGATTTTAAACCCAATGAGAGCCACTTTAGTGCTTGATATTGAACTGCAATATTCTGTTTAATATTTGATGATGCCATTATCGATCCAAAGCTGGAGAAAAGGAACGGTACAAGACAACGGCTTGCAAGCTTTTCTAATATGTTTCCATGTAAGCTATAGTGTACTAGCCTTAATATATATTGTTTGAGTTCGTCTTGTATATGATTTCTTTTATGTGACAAGCATCCATAACAGAATAATATCATATCGCTTATACGTCTTGCTATATCACAATTTAACCTATACAAAATTACGTCATTATATTGACGAGGAGTATGAGTAACATAACATGTGATATCATTTGATTTTGATTTAGTATCGATTATATGTCGTGCTATATCACTATCTAACTCAATAAAAACTCCATTTAGGCAATCACGATATGGATTAGGATTAAGTTGTGTGACAATTTATTTGACATTTTCATATAGTCGAAACCAAAAAATTATCCAAATAAATTCATTTTTCGAAAAACGGTCTACGGTATTGAGCATTTATGAAACTTTTCAGTTTTTATTTCATAGAAAAGACACTTGTTACTGTAAAAACAAAGTTTGCTCAACAGCTATGTGTAAAGATTTTATCGGTTTGGTGGCTTATAATTTGTGATATTGAAGTTTGAACTTTTAATAATGGACGATGGACAAACTTCTATACCGTCGGTAATTGGCGCAATTATCAGAGCCCAACAACAATTATTTTCGGTGTTTTTTGGGTTGTTTTTTTTTTTTTTCAATTTAAAAATTAAACTTAATTAAACAAAAAAGGATTATTATCAAAATTTTGTAAACTATTTCAAGTGATGTTTTTCAGGGTCTTTCAAATAGAATGGTCCGGAGACCGACCGGTTGACGGAATAAATGGGTCTCTATTTGAAAGACCCTGTGTTATTTAACTGCAACCAAACGCTATTTTTTCTCGACGTCTTGAGATGACAAAGTAAATTCTTTACTGTAGCCAACACGTCGATTAATCTCTAAAAAGCAACCATTCTTGACTAAAATCCTCGCTTAAAGTCATTATCAACATATGCACTTAATTTCGCCTTCCATATATTTTTGAAAAGCGCCGTACTGCTAGCCAGTACAGTGTGTCCTGGCTAGTCGTACGTGACTCACGTACGGCTAGAACTTTTGGCTAGCAGTACGGGCCCGTACGGCTAGCCACTTCCTTGTTCTATAGTAAACAACTAAGCGTATTAGAGAAACATATATGTAGATCTAGTACTATAATATAATATCCGAGTTCCAAGTATATAGTTAATTTTAGATTTACCAGATTGGGTCAAGTCAGAATTCCGGTCAAGTTCCAGATTGGGTCAAATACCAGATTGGGTAAAGTTCTAAAAATGGGTTCAAGTTAAGGTTATAATACCAACTTAAGAGTTATATAAAATTGTATAAAGATCCCAGATCAGTGACAGGTTAAATGTTTATAATTATATTTGGGTACAAACCTCCTGATAGGAGTACCTTTCTTACGACTGGTTGGTAAAGATCTTAATGCCCAACTGAGTATGAAAGGTTAACCCAGAAGCTTAAATAGAATAGGAGCGCGCGACCCAGTACTTGTGACGTCACTCGCTACCCGAAGTACATCGTGGTGAACGGTGAAGACTACTTGGAACTCGTATACCTCAATAAATACAGAGAGTTAAAAGCTAAAATCGGTCTCAAAATGGAGCTAAAAATTAGTATGATCGACAGAAAACAAAAATACAGGTTGTCAATCAGTATTATTCGTGAAAACATCGATAAAGCTTGGACTAGATCGGGATCATGAGACGCTTGACGAGACGGCAAACAATTCCATAAAAATAAAGCGTCCCGTGACTTTGTAAGACACAATACACAATTTAACAAGTTCATAGCAATATCCATATATTTAATTTAAATTCAATGTGAACTTACTGTTGGACAGATCAAATACGGAAAAAAATTTTATGAAGTTAAAGGGGCAAAACTATACCCAAATTCGAACGGGACCTACGCATTTTTACGACATATGCATATATTTAGTTTGAGTGAAATGTAAACAACTGTTGGAGTGATGATGAACGGAAACTGAAAACGTCCTTTTTTAAAGTATATGCCACAGGTATTTCATTGCGGGGGCATTTAAAAAAGAAGCAAATAGCAAAACAAGAAAAACACGATAAACAATCTTACGACACTTAGGTAGAACATTAAACATGCGACTAAATCGTATAAGATGAAGCTTTGCGGCGTTGTTCCTCCTTCTTTGTGTAAGAGAACGGACATACATCCATAACGCTTTAGAATTAGATTTGGTTCTACCTACTGAGAGATAAATAAGACATGTTCCAGTTCAATCTATGATTTTATTATTGGTTCATGATAGTTTATTCATGAAATATTAACATACAATATTAGTTAATCTGGCTTTAACCAGATTGTTCTATGGAAGTGGCTAGCCGTACGGGCCCGTACGGCTAGCCAAAAGTTCTAGCCGTACGTGAGTCACGTACGACTAGCCTGGACACACTGTATTGGCTAGCCGTACGGCACTTTTCAAAATTATATGGAAGTCGAAAATGCATATGTTATTTTGTGCTTTAAAACAACGAGTTTAATCAAATCTCCGCATTTGTCCTAGTAAGTTCACTTTAATAAAGATACTCTGCAATTTTGCACACACAAAAATGAAATACGAGTAAGCGTTGTATAATCTATCTTAATAAAATTAAGTGTCAAAGTTGCATGTTATAACGTCCTTAAATTTCATGCTTATGATTGTATGAAAGATGAATTGTTCAAGCTGTTAATTAAGCACATGGATCGAATAAATAATGATCGGAGGGGAATAAATAAATAAATAAATAAAAAGAATATTAAAAAAAAAGTGAAAAGGAAAAAAAATTTAATAATGCAAACTTTTAATAATGGACGATGGACAAACTTCTATACCGTCGGTAATTGGCGCAATTATCAGAGCCCAACAACAATTATTTTCGGTGTTTTTTGGGGTTATTTTTTTTTTTTTTTTTTTTCAATTTAAAAATTCAACTTAATTAAACAAAAAAGGATTATTATCAAAATTTTGTAAACTATTTCAAGTGATGTTATTCAGGGTCTTTCAAATAGAATGGTCCGGAGACCGACCGGTTGACGGAATAAAGGGGTCTCAATTGGTCACGTGACTTCGCTTCAGCGTTCGGAAGATTGGCCGCCATGTTGGTTAAAAAACCGCTTTGGAAAATCGCAATATTTTCCCTTAATGACGTTTAGTCAACAAAAAAATAATTTATAACATATGGTGAGTACTATCTTATATTATTAGAGTTGGAAAAGAGTAATATTTTATGGCATGTTGATAAAATTTCGTGATTTTCTATGTGACGGTGTCGAAGTAAAATTCTACCCCGAACATTTTCATTTTTCGAAAAACGGTCTACGGTATTGAGCATTTATGAAACTTTTCAGTTTTTTATTTCATAGAAAAGACACTTGTTACTGTAAAAACAAATTTTGCTCAACAGCTATGTGTAAGATGTTATCGGTTGGTGGCTTATAATTTGTGATATTGAAGTTTGAACTTTTAATAATGGACGATGGACAAACTTCTATACCGTCGGGATCATGAGACGCTTGACGAGACGGCAAACAATTCCATAAAAATAAAGCGTCCCGTGACTTTGTAAGACACAATACACAATTTAACAAGTTCATAGCAATATCCATATATTTAATTTAAATTCAATGTGAACTTACTGTTGGACAGATCAAATACGGAAAAAAAATTTATGAAGTTAAAGGGGCAAAACTATACCCAAATTCGAACGGGACCTACGCATTTTTACGACATATGCATATATTTAGTTTGAGTGAAATGTAAACAACTGTTGGAGTGATGATGAACGGAAACTGAAAATGTCCTTTTTTTAAAGTATATGCCACAGGTATTCATTGCGGAGGCATTCAAAAAGAAGCAAATAGCAAAATCAAGAAAAACACGATAAACAATCTTACGACACTTAGGTAGAACATTAAACGTGCGACTAAATCGTATAAGATGAAGCTTTGCGGCGTTGTTTCCTCCTTCTTTGTGTAAGAGAACGGACATACATCCATAACGCTTTAATTGGTCTGTTTTCCTGTTCAAGACATTGAGCGAGAAGGTTTAGAGCTGTCTCCTTGTGACCAAGGTTTGTATCATGCATAGTAGTCTTTATAAGGTTATCAAGTGCTTGTTGTTGATCCTGGTGTCTTTGAAGATGTCCATGATATGTCTTGTACTGTAAAAAAGAAGAGAAAAGGAAGAGAATCAACCACTGCAAAGTCCATCCACCGTCTGTCCATTTGACTTCTGTGCTGCATCTCATTTTGAGTACATCTCATCCATTCATACTGTAGCTCTAAAGGAACACAGTTGTTTTCTAATTTGCAGGAATCTTACACAAAACGATGTTGCTCGACTGATGCAATATTCATTCTCTTTGCAAAAATTTCCCGATAATTTTGCATAACGATTTTGGAATGGATAAATCGAGCAAGCACATACAGATTGAACAACATCACAGTTGTATCGATTTTCAATTTGTTTCAAAGTTAACTCCGCCTTATCCATATTCACCTGCACAATACAACACTGACGCTAGTTTAAGTCCGCCGGATGTCACATCCGATTTTAAACCCAATGAGAGCCACTTTAGTGCTTGATATTGAACTGCAATATTCTGTTTAATATTTGATGATGCCATTATCGATCCAAAGCTGGAGAAAGGAACGGTACAAGACAACGGCTTGCAAGCTTTTCTAATATGTTTCCATGTAAGCTATAGTGTACTAGCCTTAATATATATATTGTTTGAGTTCGTCTTGTATATGATTTCTTTTATGTGACAAGCATCCATAACAGAATAATATCATATCGCTTATACGTCTTGCTATATCACAATTTAACCTATACAAAATTACGTCATTATTATTGACGAGGAGTATGAGTAACATAACATGTGATATCATTTGATTTTGATTTAGTATCGATTATATGTCGTGCTATATCACTATCTAACTCAATAAAAACTCCATTTAGGCAATCACGATATGGATTAGGATTAAGTGTGTGACAATTTATTTGACCTTTTTCATATAGTCGAAACCAAAAATTATCCAAATAAATTCTAAACAAAAAAACACCATCACTCTGTATTATGTAACTTATCCTCCGTAAAATGTCAAGCTTAACTTCTTCTGCAGTGAATTGTCCGGCCATAAGGTTATTTTCTGGAATTATAAAATGCGGGCAATTTTCATTTTTAATATAGCTTTGCAGTTCAAGCAAGCAATATGTTAAACAGGTGAAAAGATTGTTCTTTTTCCAAAAGTTTCGGCCGGTGTTTTGTATACAGTGTAACAGTACAGTTTTACACATATAACTAGACAAAGGACTTTGAGGTGTGAGAAATTGTTTCAAAATAATTTTCATCAAAACATAACAGTGTAATTGTGTTATATTTAGATTAAACATTAAGTATCTTTCTCCTAATGAGGTCGATATTCTCCATTCTAGTTCCGGGTAAGTACTAATCTTACTGCTAGCACCAACAAGACAGCAACCATTATTAGAAATAAATCTAATCATTTCAGACGTTGGCCATGTTCCTATGCCATGTCTGTCTAGGAAATTTGAAGCTGATTGTGGCAATGAATTACAATGCATTGCATAAACTATGTCAATATCACTGTATCCTTTTTCCCCGCGGACAGCATTAGATGGCCCGTGTCTCTCAGAATTATCATATAAATCACACAAGAATGTATTTTTCAATAATATTCTCCCACTACTGTCTTTGATAAAATGTTCTTTAACAATGGGGTCGATAGGAATGACTGTCTCAAATAGTGGCTTATCACGTCGAAGAAGTTGTAGATAACAATATCCAGGTGTCACATTCTCCTTTTCCTGTATCATGAGAAGATTAATTTTATTCTTTTTCCACTCTGACAAGTCCTGTATTACATTATGACCATAAAACACGTGCAGTATGTCAGCATCTGAACAAAGTCCCAAAGTAGTTGTACCTTCAGACTGACTCCCAAGATGATATACAGACAAGTTAAAACCCATTGACCTATATCCCACGGTTTGAATATTCTCCATCAGCATATTTAGTCTCCTTCTTTCCATTATAATATCTTCATTGACACCAATTTCCTCTAATACCTCAGATAAATGCAGTGACAATGTATTTCTATATTCATGTGAATGAAACATTCTGAAATGATAAATAAACAAAAGTGTCAAAATGAGAATACAACAATGAAACTTAGATATTGTTGTTGAAAAACATTACCGTATAACACATATATTAACCAAAATATGAGTCGCGTCATGACAAAACCAACATATCATCCGCGCAGTCTGATCAGGATCCATGCTGTTCGCTTACAAATCCTATAACAAGTAGAGAAACTGATAGCGAAAAAGTATGGATCCTGATCAGACTGCGCAGATGCGCAGATGCGCAGGCTGGTCTGGATCCATGCTGGTCGCAATCCCATTATCTTGGTTTTGTCATGACACGGCTCATATTTTTTTTTAATTTATGGAGATTGAATGTTGAAATACTATTTTGTGTCATCTAGATGTTAAATTGGAAATTGTATTACCATTAAAAAAAATATGAAAATACAACCCTAGAATTATATTTTGTTTTATTTAGATATAAATCAAGAATAATGTCCCTTTTGCTGGTATGTTTTATAACATTACATCGGTCAAGCATATCTCACGGTTAGAATTTTTAATTTCAAATTATTCAATAAAATTCCTATTGAAATAAAATATTTTTTCCTTAGGATTTTCAATATTTGGACATAAAATTGTTGTTTAATTTTCCAGCGTCTTTCATGGCGCTTTTAATAAGTGTTATAGGACTAGTACAGATAACAAGACCCAACGCTTTACAGTTTTATATGCCCAAAAGAATTCCGGGCATATTATGTTATAACCCCTGGCGACTGTCCGTCCGTCCGTCTGTCCAACCGGGCGAACATCCAATGGTCTATGAGCTTCATTCCGTCCATAATTTTATTTAATAAAAACAGAGGAAATCCCATAAACCAACTGGTTTATGTGGTAAATTGTACTGGTTTATTATGAAAAGTGCCACATAAAGAACAAAGAAAAAGCACTTAAACCCCAAATGTTGGCATGTCCGTCCGCCCGTTAGCAATTTTGTTTCCGGAGCATAACTTAAGCTTCATTTGGCCCACAGTAATCAAACTTCATAGGATGATTGTTCATATAGGGTTGAAGATCCCTTTTGATTTTGGGGTCGCAAGGTCAAAGGTCAGGTTCACTTTTACCTTAAAACTGAAAACAGTTTTCGCTCAATAACTTTAGTATAAATCAACCTACAGCTGTAAAATTTTATAGGATGAACAGCCATGTCCAGTACATGACCCCTAATGATTTAAGGGTCATAAGGTCAAAGGTCATGATAATATTGATCTTTACACAGAAAATTTTGGTTTCTGGAGCATAACTACAACTTGTTGGTGGTGCTTTGAAAACAGCAATTGTATAAACATATAAAGGTTCTTCAGCTATAAAGGAGGAAAGCTTTTGGAGGGGGATAATAGTGTATTTGATTCCCATGTCTTACAAATGTTTCATCCTTTCTAACAAAAAAAAACAACACTTTTTTATAATATGTGTTCTTTTATCAAAAATTGAAAAGATATGTAAGTTTTAAGTAAAGATACACAATTTTCGAAAAAATCAAGTTTTGACCATGACGGTCTAGGTCAGTTAATGGTCAAGGTCATATCACAATAATGAAGCAGGTCGTATTTCTAAATATGTGTTATGTGCAATTAAAACATCTGTAAATTAATGAAAAAAGGTGACAATTTCAACTATTTTTTTATTTGAAATTGAGTCAAATAAAGGTCAATGTGATATTTGAATTTTTCAACATATGTATTTGTCATAAGAGTGCTCTTTTCTAATATATAGACAAATCAATAAATTATTTACATTGCTATGGCCAAAAGAAGCATAAGTCAATGAGTCATGACTTCATGAGTCAAATTCAATTTCAATTTATCTTCTTCAGTGGCTTACTGCAAAGATTGCTGTGCACAAATATAAGACAATACATTCAATAATTTCAAAATTAAAGGCAATTGTTTAAGGTCAGAACAAGTTTGATCTTTAAAAACATTGTCATGAAGGTAGTTGTGCTAAGAAAGTTATTGTTCATGCTTTTACCATTAAGGTCAATAAAAAATGTCGAAAACGAAGTTCAACAAGGCGCAGCCAACGTTCTTAACCTCCGAATCTACCTCAGCATGACAACCATGAATTTATATAAATATGACAGAATTTATCACTGGATAAACCATTAAAGTACTTTTATAAAGAAGTATCAGCATGATCTTGATATTTGAGAACAAACTCATCATAAATTGTTTTCAGCCAAGTCTGTCACTAAAAGACACGGACTATGAACTTGAAATATCAGCTCTTGAGCCAAGTTGATAAGTTATATTTGAAATGAAAGTAATTCCACTGTATCGACCAGCCCGTCACGGGACTCTAGGAGGAAAACAAACACACGGCTGCTGTTGTAATTACTAGAATTTACAATGGAGAATGAAGGAAAGCACACATCTTGACCACATTTGTTACTGATAAGCTCAAATATTAGATAACATTATTACAAGTCTCTTTCCAGGTGTAACTATTGTACTTATAATTTTCATTGTGTTAATTAATAAGTAATAAATGCAATTTAAACTACTGTAATGTTTTTAGATATCGAGAGTTCATAGCACAAAAATGTTGATTAAAAGAATAAAAGTTACAGAAAAAAGAGGGTTTATATAATAAAGGCTTCACCTTTTTACACTAAAAATTCTACAACGGTACATGAAGCATTTGCTTGTAAATTTAAGGTCTGAAGTAAAGGACAATTCATAGGAAAATAGCGACTATGACATGAATGGAATGAAGAAAAAAATGAACTGAATACCAATTTTAGAGAAAATCAAAGTAAATCTAATCAAATACACATGAAACATGTTGAAGTGATTTTCTTCCACAAAAGATCTGTCAACATTCAATGTAATATCACATTGACAAGGTAGAGTTTGCAACTTCATAAAAATATGTAGGTTTAATGATAAATCCTTTTGTGGTTATTTACTATATTAAATGAATTGACAAATGATTTAAAACCATACTGATCTTGAATGAAATGGCCAGACCTACAAATAATGTGTGAATGTATATAGATTAGCATATACCTGATCGGTGAGGCCTTAGAAAATTATTAACGAGAGAGCCAACTCTGTCTGAAAAGGACAAATATCTATGAGAAAAAGTACTTGTAACAAAAATAAGGTTGGAACTTTCTGACAAGGGAAGCCGGCATTACTCTTTAAGTTCTGTACACTTTACGATCAACACAACTTCCAAATATTGCTTTCTAAATTCATGTGTCAAAGTTTTGATGAAAATATCTTTTCAAGAAATAATAAGAGAAAAATCAAATTGGTCCCTGTTTTAAATATTTTAGAAATGGTTGATTATAGATTTTTTTCAAATCTAGAGGCCAAGTATTAATTGATAAATTAATCCAAGTTTTCAATAATATTAGTGTAAGTAAAACATTTTTTCGATAAAATTTTGTTTTTGATATGTATTATAATATACCGGTACAATTATTTCAAAGACAGATGAAAAGAAAGAAAAAATATTATTTGAAAGCCCAATCTAAAAAATTTAATGTTAAAATTTCAGATTTAGTCTTGGGTTAATGCTAAACAAATCTTTCTGCTAAAAAAGATGAGTTCTTCTGTAGTTAATTTGATTCCTGGTATGCACTCTTCACTTTTTATGATGACAATTTTATATGGTTTTCCCCTTAGATAATGTTGCCCAGACAAACACTGTAGACATTGCAAATGCTGCAAGTTTCCTGTCTACTTTGTAGTCATTAAAATCTATTATTATGAAAGTTATTGACAGAAGTAATTATATTTTTACACTAAAATCTCTTTTAATAAAGTAACAAAATTATTTTATTTTAGCTCCAGCTGACAAGCAATTACTCTGATGTACTACCATTCTTTTCTAAACTTTAGGTTTAATAATAATAACCTTTTTGTATCGTCTGTTCTGTTATAGGAGTTAATACATAACATTATTTGTCAGTAAAACACCATATATTTGTTGACTGATGAGAAATTTGTAGCAAGATTAAATGTTCATAAACGCTGGGCATTGTGAATGTTTACCTCCTACAGGTCACGTGACTATCTTCGTTGATACAATGTATTCACAATCATCATGTTTGGTATACAAGTTTGACCTTAACCTTCAGTATGGAGACCTGTCTTTTATGCGCCTATATTATCATGTCTTACACATTATATCAAATTATTTCAAAATGCATCCATGAATGGCAAAATTGTTAAAAGGACAAAAATATTTGAATGTTTGTATGAAATTTAATACAATAACATTCAATCTTTAAGTGTAACCTTGACCTTTGATTTAGGTCCTAACGCAGTTTACGTCATTTTTTAGTTCAAAACATTTATGCATAGTATTTTTTATAATATTTTTCTTGAAGGTCCACCAATCAATGACAGTTAAGTTGATCGGACGCGAACATCAGTTTATGTTTATGTTTTTTTGTTTTTTTTCAGTTTGACCTTGACCTTTTGGCTTCAATTCCATATTTTGAATATTTTGTCCCAATGTGCTACACTTAAGCAACAAATTATTTTTAAATCCATCATGAATGATATAGATAACGACTAGGCATAGCTTTGACGGAAGGACCCTACAAAAATTATTACTCAAAATGTTTGTATGATTCTTTATTATTTTTTTATTGGTGTTTTTAGCAATTTTTTAGTCCCTTACTTGGTAAATTGGTAAACTTTTTGTAAAATTGTTACTGACAATAATCTGAGCCGGGGGCATTTGTGTTTGACAATGTTCATGTTAATTTCTTATTTGTTAAACTTTAAATTTTCTAAAACCATCTTTTTTAATTGTTATTGTGTTAAATATATTGATGTGCAGTTATATACTTTCAGGTAAACGGTAAACACGAAAATGTGACTATTCAAAGGCGTAAACTACAATGACTTGCTAATTATGTAGCTTAACATTTACAAAAATTCGTCTGTTGTTCTTTGCATGCCTGCTGCCTCTTATTAGCATCTGCATTTAAATGGAAACGTCTGCGTCATCAATACGTTTACCATAAAAAATAATGAAATAAGAAAATATGTATCAAACTGTTTATAATGTACACATTGTGTTCTACATTAAAAGTAATGAATAACACTTACAGCGGTGCTAGCAAGAAACTCAGATTTTTAAAACTACTTTCAATTATTCTATGTACTAATTGCCTTTGTTAAAATGTATCTCCAATATACTATATTTTGTTGATCACGCATATATGGATTGACAAACCAGTCCAAAGAGCCTGTAAAGTATGCCAAAATAATGATGTTCCTCATTCTTAACAATCATTATGATAGAAGATGATATTTTGGTTGAATTAGCATGGTCGGATTGAGGTACAACGACTCGTACTTACATGACAAGTTAATATTTCGAGCATTTGTATATATCATAAAATGGTCTAAATTTGATTTTAATTTACAAAATTTCTAGACGGCTATTTAAACTTCCATATGGAAAAAATCACAAACTGAAATTATAGAATAAATCAAATATTTTAAAAGATCATAGCTATTATAAATCATTAAATTTTAATGATAAACTTTCTGCACAACGGGTCTATCTTGACACAGCTCTCTGTTGCATAAAATAAATGGATTTTATTAGGTCAAATGCACAATAGATATATGTCCTGTTTATAACAAAATGCAATAAACGTGTATATTTATAAACAACATAAGTAATGTTAATCGTATTTCAATAAGTTCACAAAAATCGGCATTTTGAAATTTTTAATGCAAGTTTCAATATAAATTACCTTTACAAACTTCAGTTTAATCCTCAAAATCAACTTTTCTATTTATCACAAGAATGTAAAAACGATATGACATGTCGGTGCAAATACATGTATGTGGATACATATTTTAATTTGATTTCACATACTTCTTGCAAAAATGGAATAAAATACACACAATTTCATCCTTACAGTATTAAAACTTCTGTTAAACATTAGTTTGGCTATAATCTTTTTCATTTTGGTTGATAAGTAAAAACAATTCAATGTTTTTGTTTAGCTAATATAATTTTATTGAAACTCGTGAAAAAAATCTTATTTACTCTCCGGTGGCGTGCATACTATTTTTTTATTATTTTACCTGTTCAATCAGTTTAATATTGAACCTACACTTATTTTAATCATAAGGAACTTTTAAACATGATTTAAAGGATGAGTAAAATCAAACATATTAACATGAAACCATAAGTATAGCTAGGGCGGGATATGTTGGGGTTAGACTCCCCTGAGAAATTTTGAAAAATTAGATGTTAGATGGTGGGCTCTGGCATGTCTTGAAGCACCTTTTGCACGTAAAGCATGAATCATTTTCAAGTCAATTTTTTCCATAAAATTGATAAACATATAGCAGCTAGTTTTACTGTTTTTACTTATTTCATTATAACTTCGATAAATTTGTGGAGAAAAAGGCAGTGTTCGCCTTGCAGTTATCTTATTTTACACGTGCATATAGACATACACACAACAAATTTTCCATGTGAAGTTTGACTGTGGATGCAGATCATGAAATTGGTTTATGCATGAATACCCGTTCAATTGTAAAACCGCAATCAACCAGATAAGATTTTAGTATTTCTAATCAAATCAGTTTCGTAAGAACGACTTTAAGTTTTCTCTTAAATCTTTTTACTTATCCAAGTGTATATATTATTTCCAAATGTACGAGTATTATTTAAATCAAAAAAAAATATACTCGGAGAACACTTCTATTCCATCCTAAGAAGGTAGGGAAATTACCAGATACAAGAGATAATAAATGGTCTAATGATCATTAAATCTGCTGTTCCTTGTAGATACGTACAAAACGGTCTGCTCTTGTGATGGCATTCATGTGTTCTTTTGAATTTATGTGCCAATCAACGACTTGTTTTTGCGTTGTTCCAGTCAAATTGACGAGCAAAAGCACATTTCCAGCGGCATCAAAGGCAAAACACGGAACACATCAAGTTAAAGGCTGTACCTTATATAGGGGTGCTTCTCTTGGTCAAACTGAGTTTCAATGCAGCTTGTAACGATTCTAGAGGGGCCAGAAGAAGAAGCAGTGGTAGACAAAGAGGAGAGGTGAACGGAGACGAAGAAGGGGGAGAAGGAGACGCGACATTTGTGTATGATTGTCCGATAACAGGACGGTCACATGCCAGGTCTTGAAATCTGTGTTTTTTCTGCCTAGTCAGATTCATTCTCAACTTAAAACGGTTCCTGTTTAAGCACCTTAATCAGGGTCGCTTGTCCTGGAATTTAGTTGATGCTTCTTTTCATTTTGACAACAAACTAACCATACACCAAATTTTAAATTTTGCTAATTCTAGATCTAGGACTTTAAAGATTTAAAGTCGTTTTAAAATACAGCTTTTCCAAAGGAAACGATCTGAAATGATTGCTTTAAATCTTTAAGAAACTTCTTAATATTTTTGTTTCTGAGTGTTGAACCAACGATACGTTTTTATGAGCCTAATTCAAGACATGAGATTCCTTATTGTCCATGTACATGCATTACTGCGGAGTTTAACATTTATCTCTGTGCAATAAGTTTGTAAATGCTTGGAGTTTAAGAAAAACATACATTTCTACTGCACATAGATTTTATTAATACTAAAAACGTCATACGATCAAGAGTGACGCAACCATTTACACTCGTACACAGTAAAAGTAATTACGTCATAAGCTGAACAGTATGACGCAACGAAATATTTTGTAAACAGAAATGGAGAACTAAATCTAAGGCGATTGAATCATTATTTTTATACGCAAATGCGTAATGTGCGTAATGGGCACTATGTCGCTTAATGACACTACTACATGAGAAACACTACTTACAGCAAAAAGAAAGATAACAAATTAGCACTTGAAAAATATACAAAACAATGAAACTTTTTAATTAATTTCGCGATACGTAAAAAAGAAACTGATTCCAAGCGTTTGAATAGCCATGGAATAATTCATTACGCTTATCTTCTGTAAACATATCATGGCACTTCCACGTACAATTTTGTCATAACCCAATTTATCCGAACTATCAATATCAGCATAACATTCACCATGACCTTTATCATGAGCACTTATTTTCCTATCATAAAAATCGTCTGTACTCATTTTTATGAAATTATCAATAAAGGTACTTATTTCAGCAAAACCATTATCGCCTCGAATATCAATATTAGCACTCATTTCACCATCGTCATTATCACCTGTACCCATTTTATTACACGTATCAATATCATTTTACCTGAACTATCTCTATAAGAATTCTTTTCACCATCATCATTATTGCATGCATAAATAGGATCTTAATATGTTATACTTTTTTATAAATCAGCTTTTTGTCTCTTATGTTTAAAGAAGAAACTAATAGTAACTGTACAGAAACTTCAAAAAGGATATAGTTGCAGTATAATATATCTGATACTTATAAATGAATTTGTTTTTTTCATTTACATTAATTTCACTGTAAATATTTATTTTAAACTGAAATGAAGCAATTATTCCGTATTTTAAGTGTTCTGTTGCCGGACTTCTTTCTGAATTCCTGTAATTATAGAAAAAACTTTAGTTACAAAATTTGAAGATAATTTTGAAAAAGGTGTATCAAAATTACAAACATCATAAACTATGTTTGCTTTTTAATTGCCTGTTAAAATATTGTGAGGTCTCTATAAATGTAAGTCATACAATTATTATATAATAAGTGCAATAATTTCTTTGAATACTCACTAAGCGGTCATCTTGTTTGCACAGTTTTTAAAAAATACAGTATTTAGAATGATATATGTAAATAAAAAAATCGCATAATATATTATATGATTTTAAAAATTGGACGGTGATGTCATTACATTTTAATGACATCATTACAACATCAAACTTTGAACTACATATACTATAAGTACTAAGTATTGATTTTTACTGTTATTAAACAACAACACCATGCTAACTTTAAAGATATTACAGTTTCGTCATTGAATAGATAAAGATACTAATGCAACATAGTTCTAACTCAAGTTAGCTCTATGTTGCATTCATCTGTTTTTTTTTCACTTTTGATTATATTGGTAAATGCAACACAATGCTAACTTTAGTTAGCTCCCTTTTGCATTTATGAAATATTTAAAATATTAACTTCTTTAGATGGTGCAAAATACCAAGTGGCAATTAAAACAAACAAAAAAGTAACAATAATTTCTAATAATTCATTTATCAATGTATATCTTAAAATTATGCTAAAGAATTTCAAAATGTAATTTAAAAATTATATAATTTGGCCAGTGTTGCGTTAAGCTTTCGAAATATCAATAAAGAAGAAACAAATTTACAGCCTACATAAGTTCACTAGATTTATATTACCAATGATAAATAACCTTATGTTCTCGTAGATTCTCCTTAAAACTAATTTATTACACAAGTTTCGTTGCGAAAACACAGAGGTAAAATTATTATTTTTACTTCCTCTTTCGGGTTTGTTTTATTCAATTTATACATGGACAAATAGCTTCATATTTATTTATTGTTGTCAATAGTATAAACTGTGAATTAAAATCCTGATAATGTGCAGCCACGGGATTGAAATCATGAATTTATAAAATAAAAGTCATTATTTGATTTAGTTAGAATTGTAACGATGTGAATTTGTTAAGATTAAATAATGAATTTGTGAAATTGATTTCATAATGTTTAAGTCATAAATACGTACTTTTGAACTCTGCGATTTCATTTACCTTAAGTTAAAATCTTATACGAGTATCATACGTTGCAAAAAATTGATTCATCAATTAAATATTATTATTCTGAACAGTTTTGATTGGTTGCATTCACTGACAGAAATTAAGTAGAGTCAGTGTTTAGGCTATTTTATTTGTAATCACATTAAGTGTGTATATCTCGGATCCATCTCCGAAAGAAAAAGGTGTTTAATTTAAATTATTAAATTATTTTAGGTATTTATTGGCTAAATAATGCTTATTAAAGTTAAATGACAATGTGATACCTAGCATTTCAAAGTCTGTCTAATAAAATGAAAACTATTAAAGGTAATTTATATTTGACAAGATCAACCGATTTACTTTGGCCAAAGTTAGGAAAACGTTGGTAAGGTTTAGGAACTTGTTTTAAATGGTTAGGGTAGAGCTACATTTTTATACATATTTTAAACATTTTGAGTAAAAACAATCCTTTTGGTTGTGTCATATGTTAGTTGAATGCTATTTTTGTTTCTTAAAATTGATCAATATGAAAACATTTTCCATAATGATGAGTTTTAGATTATTTACAGTTTCCTTACTACAGAAAAAGTGTCCATCTTGTAGCCAAGTTTTAGTTAGAAAAAAATGTCCGTAACTAGTAAACCTTACGATAAACTTTGTTTAAATTTTGCATTTTACTGATCCATATTTTAAATTATAAACTTCGTTATAGTGCCCATTAGAGGGTCATACCTCAACTTAAACTATTTACCACTCCTACTTTTCTCTATTTTGCAATTCAGATTCCTTTCTTTTTTTTTTTCTTTTTTTTTTGTTTTTAACATTATTATTATTATTATTATTATTATTATTATTATTATTATTATTGCTATGCGTTGATTATCTAGGATATCAGAAGCATTCGTTCAATTTTGCAATTGACTTATTAAGGATATCTTCATGAACATTTTAAATATGATTTTAAAAAAAAATTGATTTTTTTTTTCAGCAAAGTGTAAAAAGGGACAGAACAGAAAGTGTGATAAGCTCAGAAGAATACGTTAATCTGTGAATTTCAACACAGTTTCTCAACAAGATCAAAACTCACTTAATATTTAAAACGATATTGGACATATGGTCATTTTTTATATTTTGGTCTACTGATTAGGGTAGGGTCGGCGGCGGGCAAAAACAGCTTTCATATCTTTATGTCTTCAAGGTAAGATATTTCGTTAGCATATATATCTTCTTTGTCCGACTCTGATAAATGTGCTGCGTACATAGTACTTACTACTATAAAAATTATATGGAATTTATCGTCGATTGTCTTACTTCAACAGATTGCCTCAATACACAAAATTATTTGCTCAAATGTGTGAAAACAAAATAACATACACAAATAAATAAAATATCACGTTGCCATTGATTAACAATTACCCACATTAAATCTACAAGATAACTTCTGACGAGTCGCAAGCCGGCCCTTCAAAAGAACCAGTCAATCTTTCATGTTGACACACATTTTGTCACTGCTTGGTAATCCGAATCTTCAAAGGTGCGAAAATTTAACTGACTTGCACTCATTATATCAGAAATTTAAAGAATTGTCAAGAAAACATTACACGTGTTCTATTAAGTCCGAAGTTGAAAATATTTTATCGGATAAATAGCGGGTCAATTATTATTTACAAACTGTTTATCGTAAGTGCAATTTTTAATTTGGTTTTGTTTGTTTGTTTCATTTTACGCCTTTTCCCAACAGTTTTGGTTTGTGAGAAATTTTAAATCTGAATATAATCATCTTGTCACTTCTTATCAAATCTAAATTTATCTTATTTCTTATTACATAAGATTACTCTCGCTGTGTCATTGAATGTGAATTCCTGCTTTTTGTTTTATTTATTTATCTATTTAATTTTTTTTGTTTTAAGTTGTTGGGGTTTTTTTGACATTTTTTTATGAATTTGGAAATTACAAAAAAAATAAAATATAGAAATATAGACAAAGCATATTTTAAAAATACAGATCTTAGCCTGATTATTATTAGGCAAGAACGGTTTGACCCATTTAACAGTCATTCTTTCATATTACCGTCAAAAGTTTTCTCGATGTTTCTCAATCGCAACCTGTCGGCCCTTTCCGTCAGTCTTCGGATAAAGACTTCGAACACAATAATATGAATACACAGAACTGATGCGGTATTTAGGTCTAACCTTCGCTAAGAAACTAAACATGAAAACAAATAGTATGTAAACAAATAGTAATTTAATGCTGGGAGTTGTTGACAAGTTTATTTCCAGTCTTTGTCGTAAAAGTCTACCTTAAATAAGTTAATTCATAGATACAAAAGCAAACAGTAAATTATTTCTATATTTATTATTATGGTTGTAGAAACCGAAAGTACAAAAAACCAACCTGTAGACATATTGTCGAATTCGCTTAAAATTGTACATCAAGGGGCATATTTAAATTACAAATTGTTGTCAGACATAATAATTTCAATCATAAGTGTACCGAAACAGACATTACTTTACTTTTGGATGTCCTTTTACATTATCTCTGTTTTTGTTTACATCTGAGACCAAGTGGTAGTACTACTTATTTACCTTACATAAATACGTGTGAAGCTTTGAAAAAAGACATATTAAGATAATTAACAATTACAATCAATAATGCTGGAATAACAATAACCTTAAATTTTGACCCTGTTAAAAGTTTATCCAAAGATACTTTTTCCGACGGATTTTGAGCATATCTAAGTTACAAATTGACGCCTTTCCTTTATTTAATGACCAACCCAAGCGTGAAAAACATGACCCCCAGTTGAAAAATGATGAACTATAGACAGGCCATTCTTAAACATTGATAAGTGATCAAAATAAGATTACGCCAAACATGCCTATATATGGTCACGCACACGTAAAATATCTGTATTCCTTTCAGAGTTTTCAGTTATGAATATCTATCTATTCATTTGATTCAAGTAGGTGGACCAGGAGCTAATATACAAATTTGCCAATAGCCGTAATAACTGATAATGATCAGCTATATGGCACTATGTAGTGAACATTAATATTGCATAACATGTACAATACTGTTTGTTTGTGCCTTTCCGGATCAAAATGTGTCGGCTGCTAGTATAAAAATGGCTGTCTTGTACTGTTATAAATGTTTAAAAGATATCACACAAGTGAAAATTCATGTATCCCTCTCAGAATAATTATTAACTTAGGCTTTTTAACAGCCGTGTTAAATTTCAATTGCTAATGAATTTAGACCTTGTCGTCGTATTACAGAACTTTTTTTTATACATTTCTGTACTGATTAGGGAAGTAACCGCTGCGAAAAGTGTAGTGTATAAGCAACCGTGACGGTTACTTCCCCTGATCAGTTGCAAGACGCGAGAAGGTTGGTGTAGCAGATTTAAAACACTTACTGGTATGAAACCGTTTACTTTATACATGTATTTTGGGAAAGATATGTTGAGTAGGATTAGAAAACAAATAATATATTAAACTTTTATTA